TATGTAGAAAACAAAACGCGTACGCGTGATATGTATAATAAAATTTGTATTATATTTACACGTATAAAATAAATTTGTTATTCGCCAAAAATCAATAATACATATAGGGGATTCTGTTACTTGTTGCTTTATAGGAAGGAGGAAATATGTCAGCAGGCGAATTTGGTATCAGCGAGCGGATGCAACGGAATGCCTCCACGAGTCAACAAAGAGCGACGAATGTGGGCGGCAATTTCGCGTGCTCCTTTTGTCCCTTGAAGGAACAGTAAGATTACAAAGGAGCGAGGCCGCCGTTCACTCGGCATTTGGTTTATTCGGAAGAATGTTACATCATGAAGGATCCGTTTAGGTTGCCGAACAGAGGCGAAGTCCTGGTCTTGGGCGCCGATTGTAGCGTGTGCAAGCACGCCGTGTGTCTAGGATGCAGCACATTTTACACGAGGCGTTTCTGTTCGAAATTCGCGTCCAGTAATGTGCAGTATTTACCGTCCCAGCTATACGGTAAAATCAAAAACTTAACGAAGAAGGCAAATTCTTGAAAATAATGTAAATTTCTCATCAAACGTTATTTATTAAAAAAATCAATGACGACAGTTACAATACAAAAAGAAATATATTTTATATGTTTGAGGTAGTTGTAGTTTTGTTTAAATCTGTGTATGATCAATTTTCTATAAAAACTTGTTCTTTATAATACTATTTTTTTTCAATATCACATGAAAAATGTCTTAGAATATAAAAAAAACATTACGTAATAAATCTAATAATCCATAAATACATTACGATGTTAGCTTAAGCTTTTGCCGATTTGGCTGTGAGTTTTCCTGTCATTTTCTTCTTTTTCTTATCAAATCTATTCTTTATCTTCTTGTTTTTCAACTCGACCTTTTGGCTCTGAAATGCGGCAGACGTCGCTCCTTTGTTATTTCCCTGCTGCTTTTTCTTGTTAAGTTTTTTGTTCAACCTGCGAAAAGAAAACACGAGTATTGCAACATTAAATTGTATATATATTTTTTTGACAATATTTATTAGATACAATATTTATTATTGTAAAAAAGGAGGTTTGCAGGAAACATTTACGAATAGTTAAAATACTTACATTAGATGCTACAGGCTTTTCTGAATCAGTCTTAAATTTTTTTGACAATTTCTTATCACAATGCGGACTAGTTCGTTTCGTTCCCTGTTTCATCACTTTATCGTCATTTTTATTCGAACTTCCTGGATCAAAATAACCCTGACAATGAGACATCAGTTTCAAGCGTATTGACCGTCCCCCAATTCTAATTTTCTTGAAAGTTCTGACGATGGTACGTGCAGCCGCTTCAGTGTCCATATAGACATAACCAGTTCCATTACTTAGTCCCGTTTTATAATTACGGAATACTTTCAAACGTCTTATACGTCCACATGTGGTAAATAATTCCCAAAGTTTGTTTTCGGGATCTAGTCCTGAAATGTCAAAAACATCAAATTACTATTAATTTCCATGCTGTACAAGTATAACGATTGATCAACAACAATTTATATGTACCAGGTTTAAAATTACTGAACAATACAATTTTTTTTGGTTCAGGATTATATTCTAGAATTTGACGAGCAGTCAGTACATTCAAGAAATTTCCTTCCGCAGTTCTTATTCCGTTCAAAGCTTCTGCTGCAGCTTCCACAGATCCTTCCTTCTCAAATTCTATGAATGCTACGTATGTTTTTAGATTTGGAATATCCGGCAGTACTCCAGACTGCGCTGCCTTTTTCCTACTTACAATAACCATGCCGGCTAAAGTTCTCAAATGTATCTTTCTAATGATTCCATACTGGTTAAACAGACGAGCTACATCTTGTATATCTGTCGTTCTTGGAACATTATTAACGAGAACTGTTCTTTTATTCTTGTATTCTTTCAATTCATCAATTAGATTCTTTTTTTCTATAGCTTCATCATTCTTACAGGAAGCTTCACCAGCTGTCTTTTTTGTAACTGTATATTTTGTTACACCATTATGATTCTCTTTATCATCACAGACTTCTGCAGTACACTTCTCAAAAAGCTTTTTTGTACCAAATTCTGTGTCAATGCTATCGTCGCTGCTGTAGTCGCTCTTATAGCTGCTGTTACTGCTATCGCTGCTGCTGCTGCTATCGCTGCTGCTGCTGCTATCGCTGTTGTTGCTGCTATTGCTACTATCATTGCTGTCATCACTGTCAGTTCTATCAAACCAATAAGCTTTGCCCATTTTTCTTTTCCTACAAAATATAAGACAGGATTACAGGGAAATTTGTACATACAAATCGCAATAAATGTAAAAGCGAAAGAAGGACGAATATTAAGTCTCTCAAATATATATATTTACATTTAAAAAAATATAAAACCAACATCAAATATTAAAGCTATCTACAGGATGATTCATTTTGATGTAGATTTTTCCGATAATCGATACCGAAAGTTTTACGATTATTAATTTAATGAAGTTTTTCAAATTGAAATATTTAAGGATATCGTCGATAACGGATTACAAGCG